CCACCTTCTGCGGCTCCGGTTGGAGTTCCTTGTCTGTCACCACGTGCCCCAGGAAAGAAATGGTGGTGAGGAAAAACTGACACTTCTTAAGCGCCACCTTGAAACCTGCATCTCGTAACGCATGCAGTGCCCATTCGATGTACTGCACGTGTCCCTCGTAGGAACTCGAATACACTAGGATGTCATCCATTTACACAATCACGCAGTAATTGATGGTGCTCTGTGCCAAACGAGTCTTCCGTACGAAATTCTAAAAAGCCATGTTCATGGCCCKCTGAAAAGTTGCAGGGGCATTGCAGATACCCATCGGACATCGAATCCAGTGCCACGTGCCTTCGAAAAGCACAAACGTTATTTTTGGTCGATCTTCCTCTCRGACAAAAAAATGATGGAACCCATGACGAAGATCAAACTTGCTGAAAAATCGAGCACTCTCAATCGCATCCAATAACTCGTCAATCCGGGGGAGGGGATACACATCTTTGATCGTGATATCATTCAGCTTTCGATAATCACTATAAATCGAATCCCCCCAGCCTTCTTGGGTACAATCACTACAGGAAAAGACCATGGTCCTATAGTAGGTTCGATCCATCCATTAGCTTCGAACTCCTTAATCCGTTGAAAAGCGGCCGCTCGTTGAGCTGGCGAGTAACGGTAGGAAGCGCARCTAATGGGCGGATGATCTCCCGTGATAATGGCATGTTCAATTACATTAGTTAACCCAATATCATTATCATGCACGCTCAACACTTCTGCGTAACCATTCAATACACAGATTAACGACTTCCGAAGTTCCGCGGGAACGTGACTCGGGAGGGGGATCATCGATTTCCCAGATATATTAAGGGGCATATCGATCCAATCACTCGGCCGTTCCCACCACTCATGGACACTAGAGAAAACGGAACTACTGGTGCGAGCAGGAAAGACAGTTGCTATCATCTGGGACTCAGCRGGGCTGATCATCTCCGTTTCTTTAGTTTCAGCGTCAGTCTCGGAACCAACCGAAGTCGGTTCCACAGTTAGCCCTGTTAAATCCRTCATTTCTTGCATTAGATTCGGCACGTCACTTACCGGTGCTTCCGCTTCTTGTTTAATCAAGGCGATGGTGGCTCCTGTCCTTAGTAATGATCGGGGTGGAAAAACAGAAATGTCCAAATGCTGTTCCGTTTGCTGATAACGCGTTCGTAAGRAAAGAGTTCCCTCGTACAAGGTGTGAGGGGTTCCAAATCATCAACCAGATCGGAAATTTGTWATATGGGTTCGCCGAGGAGGACTGAAGGACTGACCTAGGTTGTTAGCGGTGTGAATGCACTGTCTTCAGAATCCACGTGGAAGCTTCGAGCGGTGTCGGGGCACACTCGAAATTCTTCGGGGCTTTCATGTTCGAAAAATTCAACCAGATGTTTCCATTCCTCTTTACTGGGCATTTCTTCTTCGTATTCTCGTTCCATGATTCCATCCCCAAGGTGCGAGGGGGAGCACTCCTCGGGATCAATGTCTCGGATCATCCCTATTTSGGGCGAGTTAGGAACCCGTTTTATCGTTCGGGTGGAAACCCGCAAAGGAATAGTTTGAAGCTTTCCCCCAATTTGTGTGAGCACCAATTGTTTCGAATCGAAATGGAGACATGCGCCCACCGCCATTGACCAAGGTAATCCCAACAACACAGAGTAGGAACGTACATCTATTACGAGTGCGTTAACAAGGACGTGTACTCGCCCGACCTTTACCGCCACGTTCTCAATAATGCTTACAATGTCCATTGCTTCCTCGTCGGCAGAGACATAGTTGTCTTTGCCAGATTGAGGAGGAATGGATCCAAGTCGTCCCGTCTTTTTAACAGTCTCCAATGATATGGCCACTGCAGAAGACCCTGTGTCGATTAGGGCATTAAACGACTTACCCCAAACTTCCCAGTCACATTCCGCACTTTTTCATAGTACTGGCCGAGCTCGTACGAAGTGATCCTTTTCTGCTAAAGAGATGGCGGCTATGCGTGCGGTTCCAGGTTCTTTAGTGTCCGGCTCAGGGGATACCACTTCCTCACCTTCTTCCTTCTTTTTCAACATCCGTTGTATGCGTTGATAGGTGAAACGCTTTTGATTTTTCTAGCAGTGTTGTAAAAGTTTATCGTTCGCCGCTTCAGATATGGTGAGCAGATGCCCTATGGGGATAGGAACGCGGATGTCTAACTGCTTGAGCGTTTTTAGTACATCAATGTCTCCTGTCCGAAACTGCGGTCCTGGATTGGATTCGCAATCGACCCACTCGAGATCATGCCCGCGAGATGGATATATCGAGGGGATCAACCACG